TGAGTCTCTCTCTCTCTCTCTCTCTCTCTCTCTCTCTCTCTCTCACACACACACACACACACATACACACACTGGTGTGGGGATTAGAGGTCACAGCTCTCTTCTATCAAGTGGGTTTGGGGAATCAAACTCAAGACCTGAAGCTCTACAACAAGCACCCTTACCTGCTAAGCCATCTTGCTGACCACTTTTTGGGTCTTCTCAATATTAGTTTTACACACAGGAAACAATATCCTTGATCTGGGCCTGGTCACACTCATCTATGATCCCAGCACTTGGGAGGTGGAGGCAAGAGGATCAGAGAACCAAGGTCATTCTTGGCTACCTATTGAGTTCAAGGTCAGTCTGAGCTACAGAAGAGACTGTCAAAAACAAAGCTAATCAAATTCCCTAGTGTCTCAGAAAAGTGATAAAACTGAGGGTGTCAAACAAACTGTGTCCTTTAGGAAAACACAGGCAGAACTTTGCAGAAGGACAAGCTGCCGACGTGCTGAGGGTTCCTTCCCTTCCACTCAGCAGATAGTCCAATACATAGAGGTGTACAGGACTGCAGAAGACTTGCCAGTTAAGTCTCAAGCCAGAAGGCTCTGGCTTTATTCATCTATAACAAGGATGTCTTTTTGTGTCCATTTCTTTGATACATTGTGTAAATAAAAGCAGTCAGGTATGTAAGACAAAGGTATAAACAAGTTATATTGAGTCAGAAAATCCCAGAATTTATGAAATCAAGTCTGCAAGAGAGAGAGACTGCGACTGTAACCACCACGGAAACGTCACTCCCTGAGCTGCAGGTCATCAATAGTGGGGCCGGGGAGACCACTGCACACCGAAAGGAAAAATAAAGCACAAAGTTAATTATTTTTTCTTTAGAAAATCAGGTTTGGAGCTAGAGAGATGGCTTAGTAGCTAAGAGCACTGGCTGCTTTTGCAGAGGACCCAGGGTCAATTTCCAGCACCTACATAGTGGTTCACAATTGTCTGTAACTCCAGTTCCAAGAGATCGGATACCTCTTCTGGCCTCTGCAAGCACCAGACACATACATGGCGCACATGTGTACAGACAGGCAAAACACTCATATACATAAAATATAAAAAAATACAAAAAAACCCTTTAAAAATATAAAAATTTTTCAATGATTATAACAACGAAAGAGGAGAGTTGGTGAACTTGAATTACTAGATTACTAACCTAACCTGAAAAGTATGAAATAAAAGATTGTTTAAGAATGAACAATGTTGGTGGACCGACACTACAGCTGCCCAGGCCCAGAACCAGCATTACGCGACTTGGCCCATCTATGATCTGCTGGAGCTCGTGAAGGGGCCTGACCAGAAGACTCAAAGATGCAGGATCTGCACAATATAGGGGCAACAACAGGATAATCAAGAGGAGTTCTACTAGGGCCCAGCATCCACAGTGTAGTAGAAACCAGAGGCCTCAAACCAGACCAATGACTCTATGCAAAGAACACTTGCAAGTAAAGATGCACGGGTTTACTGCATGACTCATAGTGCCTCGCTGCAGCTTCCATAATGACATTTTTAATTTTTTTTCCGTTTTTCTCTTAAATTTTGTTTTATTTTTGGGAGGGTACAGGGGTGGAGGGTAGGTGCAAAGCGACTGTGAAGGGGAATCTCTGTCAGCCAATGAACTTTAAGAGGTGGGACCAAGTTAGCAGAGTGGCCCTGCCCAGGGTTCCTGCTTTCTCTCTCTCTCTCTCTCTCTCTCTCTCTCTCTCTCTCTCTCTCTCTCTC